TTGGAAGATAACTCTATGAAATTGGAAGGGTTTCCATCTAGACCCTCGAGGTTGACTGAGACCCATTCTCAGACACTTGAACTTCACAAGCTAATAATCCAAGCCTCCCTTGGGGAGTTGGGCAAAGAATCAAAAAAGTACATCTTCAGTCATCACCGCCCCATTCACCCTCCCTGTGGTCTGGTTAGGACAGAGGCCTCTCTTCCTCCCCAACATGCCTGGCTTGCCTAAGTACTGACCCTGACACATTGAGAGCATCCAACAGAGATCCAGTGAACCTGAGCTATAAAGCCATGTTCCTAATAACTCCTGTCTAGTAGTCCACTCTCCATCTTTCTAAGAGAGAAGGGAGCTGGAAAGCTATATGCCAAGAGGGCTCTGCTGTGGCCTGCCAGGAGGACCAGCTGTCCAGTGTGGACACAATTTAACAAGAGAGACAATGGTAGAAAAATAGGGCCAGAATCTCAGCTTCAGAAGAGCAGCAGTTCTCTTCCTTCCAAAACCGGGTTTAACATCACCTGACCTCCTTTCTGAGTTCAGGCTGGGGTGTTTTACGGAATGTCCTGCCTACGTGAGATTTTTCCAGGACCATCTCCTGCTGGCTTATGGCAAGCTATGGGCCCAAAATGCCCTAAATCCATTGGTTATGCCCTAAAGATTCTGGATATAAAAATATGTGGCTCTTTATATAAGGACTTGATATGAGGCATCAGAAGCAAGAGGTAAATAGTGAACCAGATATGCCAAGTATAGACAGGTTAGCTCTGGGGTCATTTTACTAGCGATATCCCACTCTCAGAGTGAAGGGTTTCTTGTTTGTTTGTTTGTTTGTTTCATTTTGTTTTGTTTTGAGACAGGGTCTCACTCTGTCAACCAGGCTGGAGTACAGAAGTGCAATTAGAGCTCACTGCAGATTTGACCTTCCACGCTCAAGCAATCTTCCCAGCTTAGCCTCCCAAGTAGATGGGAACACAGGTTTATGCCACCACACCTGGCAATTTTTGAATTTTTTTGTAGAGATGGGGTCTTGCTATGCTGTCTAGGTTGGTCTCAAACTCCTGGGCTCAAGCAATCCTCTGGCCTCAGCCTCCCAAAGGACAGGGATTACAGGCATGAGCCACCATGCCTAGCCTCAAAACTAAGTTTTATAAGAACCATTCTTGCAAGTCCCAGAAGACCCATCAGAAAGAAGAAGGACAGCTGTGGGTGGATGGAAGCAGAAGGTCTCCCTCTGGTCCTAGTCTTGGTTCCTGAATACCACCCTGGAGGCAATGTTGCTTCAAAAGGGAGGAAAAACAGCAGATAGGAGGAAGAGGAAGAAAAAAAGGAATTAAAGTAGCAAAAAAAGACACAAGTTTAAAATAAGTTTTTATTGTTTTTTCTAATAACATAATTAATGCCCCATGTAAAAAGCTGAGGAAATTAAGAAAAAGATAAAAAATAAAAAACAATGACCTATAATATGATTACTTGGAGAAAATGACCATTAAAATTTTTGTGTATGTATTCCTTTCTAAGAAAATTTACATATTATATATATAATTTGAAAAATAATGGAAATATATGTGTATTAATATGCACACATATATATAAACATACATATGTACACATACAAACACAATACTAATTTATTATCTCTTCTTAATCTTAATTTGTTGTGAAAATCTTTCCACATAAATAAATAAATGGCAATGTCATAATTTTATGGCTATATAATATTCTGTTATAATTTACATATCAAATCCCTTATTAATGAACTTTTCTCAGTGTTTCACTATTGTAAACAATGTTCCAATTATTCCCACCGTGTGTGTGTGTGTGTGTGTGTGTGTGTATTTGCAAACATGTTCCATTCTTTCCCAGAAGTAAAATTGCTAAGTCAAATGAATACATTTTTTAAAAGGCTTTTCACAAATGCTATTAAATTGCCTTCCAGCAATATTGTACCAATTAACAATCCCACCAGTAGGGTATGGGTATCCATTTTCCTACATGGCCAACTAGGTAGTTAGAATAAACTATGTCTTTGCCTTGCTTTGATTATAAATGAAGTTGAACCTCCTATCACATTTGCTGGCCATTTAGGGTTTTGTTTTCTTTGCATATATTTTTCAATTCGAATGTTCATCTTTATTTTCTTGTTGATTTGTAAAAACTCTATATCAAGGGTTTTTGCCCTTGCCATATGTGTTGCTGTTAAGTTGACATTTAAGAGAAGATTAAAACTAAAATGAAATAATAAGACAAGAAAATGTTTTAGATAATAAAATTAAAAATTTTTTAAAAGTTACTTTAAAAGCAAGAGATAAGATTCAGATAAGACAGGTTAAAGAAAGCCAGACTAGAAAGAGGAAACTTTAAGGTAAAAGAAGTAGAAAAACAAAAAATATGTAAGCAATATCAATAAAATCAAAGAGAAGTTCTAGAGCAATGACTATATTCTAATTTGTATAATAGAAGCTACTCATAAGAAAATAAAACTGGTGGTTGTGGAAGACAATATCACTTACCTTGCGAAGCCAGGGACAGGGTCGCGGATCATCAATCAAGTTCTTGGTAGAGAACGGCAGAATAGATCAAAACGGGCAACAGTATCCAAATCTTTTGCAGTGATCTATATACTTGTTCAGACCATTAGCAAATCCTCCTGAGGAGTCCAAATCCATTTAAAGCTACATTTAAGACGGGCAACAGATAAAAAAAAAAAGTAGGTAAGGAAAGAATTACAAAAAACAGGATGAAGTCTTGATGGGAGCAGGTTAATCGGTCATTTTAATCATATTGTCTCTTCTTTTTGTCCACTAATTAGATCAAGAAGCTATTAGAGTTGCAGACACTAAGAAGTGACTCCTCTTGAAGAAGCAGATAGAGAGAGAGAGAGAGGACTTACCCCACCTACTCCAGATTTCCAGATTTAGCATAAGATAGATTGATTTAAACATGAAATTTCAAGGCAGTCTACAGCCTAAGAGTGGTTTCTATGAGAGCATATGAGACTTAGTCTGTCAGGAATAGTTTGAGATCAGTTTTACTATTTTTCTCCTATTATGTATGAAGACACTAAGGTTCAAACAGGATAAGTGACTTGCTTCATCAAGGCGCTCCCAACAGTGCACTGTGGAGCTGGAATCAGAAACAACTCCAGACCAGTGCTGCCTGATAGAGATATAATTCAAGCCACATAGGTTATTTAAAATTTTCTAGTAGACACATTTAAAAAGTGAAAGAAACAATTCAATTAATTCTAATAATATGTTTTGTTTAGCACAGTACATTTAGACTATCATTTTAACCTGTAATCAATATTAAAATGAGATATTTTACATTCCATTTTTCATGCTTGATCTTAAAAATCTAATACATCTTTTACATTTACAGAACATCCTCATTTGCAGTAGCCACATTTCCAGTACTGAAGTACATTTCAAGTACTTAATAGTCGTGTGGCTAGTGGCTACCTTGGATAGCCCAACTCTAGAACTGTGGTTCTCAAAGTGTTGTCTCCAGATCAGCTGTATCAGCATCACCTGGGAACTTGTTAAACATGCAAATTCTTGGGTACCATCCCAAACCCCCTAAATTAGAACCTCTGGGGGTTAAACACAGCAATCCATGTTTAAGCAAGCCCCTTCAGTTATTTCCGATACACTTCAAAGTTTGAGAACCATTGCTCTACACAACTGCCTCTGCATCCCAAGCCGAATAAACCCAGAACAGCCATTGTGGGCTAGCCCTGAGGACCAAGAGCCCCTGCTCTTGAGATAAGCAGTTCTTGGCTAAATGAAACTGGCTTTCTCTTGTATGGAAACATCTTAGTCCTAGCTATGGTTCCATTGCTTGGGATTATGGAATTACCAGGCACAATTTAAACATGGTTTAATTTGTCATTTTGTTTAAGGAAAAAAAAAATACAGCAACCACCCTATACTATCACCTTGAATTAGTTACTTAACTTCTATTTTTCTGTTTCCTCCTCCATAGGATGCCGACCATTTAATAAATATTAGCAACTTTTCTTAAAAAGTACTGTGTACAAAAAGAAAAAAGTCAACAAAAGGGACTGATTTTTGAAACTACAATAAAAACAAGTAGTGGGCTAGAAAGGCAATATTATAGATTTTGAGCACAGAAGCAGAAGCTGATTCACTTATTTCTTAGAACATTAGATTTAGCTAAGGGGGAAAGGTAGGGTTCTTGCCAAAATCATTAAGGAGAGCGATTCTAAGTATGCCTTAAAGCAGAACTTTCAGTAAACAGGAATTGCCTATAAAGAAAATCAGGAAGCCAAAGTGTTTCTTTTTATGAAGTTACATCCTGCCATAGAAAAGCTGGGTAGGAAATAAAGACCGACGCACTCCCAACTGTACACCAAGCTGGCACTTATTTTATCAAGGAAAATCTGAGCCAAAGCTCAGGTTCAGTGAAGGGGGAAAAACATGAGAAGTTTGAATGTCATGAGAAACCAAAGACAACCAATGGCTACAATTAAACAAGATTGTTCTGGGGGAAATAAACGAACAAATCTCCGTGATTTCGAGTTACTTAGTCACCGCTTGGCCCCTCCCCCCATTTCAGTAATACTTCCTCCAGACTTTTGCTAGAAAAGAAATATAAATTAGTGTCCCCAGAAATAGGGGACTGATAATATGATCCCAATTGCCTTTTCCTCCTCATTGTTATTTGTTGTGCGTTTCCACGTTTCAGTGATAGGATTCTGCTTTGCTCAGTATTCTCTTCAGTTTGATTGAAGAAAACGCTGCTATCACCGCCCAAACAATTTTCCATTTCATCCTCTCACCCTCAGATGAAAAGACACCAGAAAGGCATGACAGTCCTGTCTCGAGGCAGGTTCCCATGGTTTTGGGGGAATGGCAGGTGCCAATCTTCAGCAGCAGCTGCAACCTTCCGCAAAGCAGAAACTGCGGTTCACACACTCCGCTCTTTCTCCCGTCCTACCCCGCCACCTCAAAACTCCATACAATCCTTAAAAACACACAGACCTCCTCCTCCAACCTCGCATCCTCTTGCACACCCTGCACCGCACGCACCCTGGGATGCCCGCTGCCACAGTAACGCTCAACCCACTCTGCGGCCCCACCCACTGCCGTCCCTCCCACGCCCCAGGCGCCAATGGTTGCGGCCCGCAGCTCCCAAGGGGCTCTTTGATAGGGTAGCGGGGCCTGCCACTCTCGGGGCGCGCCCCGCCTCCTCCTCGCTCCCCTCCGGAGCTGGAGGGGCCGAGCATCAGCGAGAGTAGCAGCGAGCAGCCGCGGTGGTGGCGGCGGCGCGTCGTTGCAGTTGCGCCATCTGTCAGGAGCGGAGCCGGCGAGGAGGGGGCTGCCGCGGGCGAGGAGGAGGGGTCGCCGCGAGCCGAAGACCTTCGAGACCCTCCCGCCAGCCGGCGGCCAGAGCAGGGGCAAGGTTGCCCTACAAGCAGCGCGTCCTCTCCCGCCCCGGCGCGCCGCGCTTCTCCCCGCGCACCGAGGACCGCCCGTGCGCACACAAAGCCGCCGCCCGCTCCGCACCGCCCGGCGGCCGCCGCCCGCGCCTGGGAGGGATCTGGCCGCCGGGCCGGGGACACCCCGGCGCCGCCCCCTCGGTGCTCTCGGAAGGCCCACCGGCTCCTGTGCCCGCCGGGGAGCTCCCGGAGCCGCCTCGGTCGCGCCGGAGGAGGGCGGGGAGAGGACCATGTGAATGGGCTCCGGAGCCTGAGCGCCGCGCAGGTAAGCAGGCGGCGGGATGCGCTGCGGGAGGCCGCGGGGATGCTGCGGAGACGCCCGGCCGCGGGCGCCCCCGCGCACGCCGCCCCCGCCGCGAGGCCCTGCGCCGCGGGGCTGCCAGGGAGTCGGCGCTCGCGGTCTTCCCGCGGCTGCACCGGAGGACGCCCCTGCGGGGTGCGGCCCCGAGGCAGCGCGGGGATGGGGGCCCCATTTCCTCGCCCGCAAGCGGGCGCCGGGTGAAAATAGGAATTGGCTTGGGGGCGAGGCTGGCCCAGACTCCGCCCCCGCCCTCCTTTCGGGGCCCCCCGCGGGGACCGGCTCTGTGTGTGTTGTTTTAATGTCAGGGATGATGTAATCACTTAATAATTGATGCCCCGTGCTGCTTCCCTCCCCACCCAACCCCTGCCCCACTCCTCCACCTCTCGGCCTCCTCCCTCGGCGGCGGTCGCCTTCTCCAACCCATCCTCCTGCCTATTTCTGGCACCTCCCTTGCACTTCCCCCATCCGCCCCTTCACTCTTCCTGTGCCACCACCCACCCACCCTTCCCCTTTCCCCTGTGCTGGAGCCTTCCGTCCTCTTCCTCTGTCCCCCACCCCTCTGCTCCCTCAAGCTCCTTTCTCCTTCCTTTCCGGCTCCCTCGCTGGATTTCCTCTCTACTTCCCTAGATCCAGGGCTGTTTTTGTTTGGGCTCCTCCCCTCTCTTATCTCTGCGGCCACAGGCGGAGGGGACTGGGCCAGAAAGAGGCCATCGAGCTTGGGCCCAGGCAGAGATGTGCTGGGACTCTCTGGGAGAAGGGATAAAAAAATCACCCTTCTTGCCCCTCCTTCCCCCAATAAATCACACAGACTCGCCGGGTGTGTGTGTGTGTGTGAGTGTGACACAAAGAGCCCTTTCAGTGCATAGAGAGGAGACACACAAAGTACCCTAGGATAGGCACGATGCTTCTGGTCTCTCTTCCCTGGGGCTTCCCTTTCTTTCCCATGAAGCAGTTGATCTCTCTGTGTCTTTCCTGCCACATTTACCAAAAAATAAAAGAACTCCCAGATGCCGGGTGGCAGGTGCCGGCATTTTGCTGTGTTCACAGACCGGTAGTGTTGACTGGCAGCTGCAGTGTTTCTTAGATTTAAGGGGACAATTATTCCAGCAGTCTTAAGAGTTTCTTTACTTTAAGGTAGCCTCCCCACCTCCTTGTCCTTTCCCCTCTCATTTTGGGAACAAGCACTAAGAGCTGGGGTAAATTGGTGTGGGGAGAGGGTCACAAGAATTTTGTTTCTGAATCAGAATTCAGTTGGTATTTGACAAGAGGGAGGCCGCCTGAGTTGCTTCTTCTCTCAAGTCTAACAGGGCACCGTGCTGAAGTCTTTTGAAATGAAATCCTGTCTGCCCAGTGATGTTGTTTTGCCCTTTCATTGAAGTAAATACCTGGGGACATGGATAAAACAGTCTAGAGTTAGCATTTGGAAGACCACTTTAGACTGTCTCTTGTCTGCTTCAAGGTAGCCTTGGGACGCTCACTTCCTTTCTCACCACCCAAGCAGCTGCAATACTTTCCACTCTTTGTACTGTCTTCTTCCCCAGTCCCTGCTCCATGGGTACCCTGTGTTCAGATAAAGGGACTCATAGACTTTTAGAGGAAGTGGTTTAGCTATCTGAGATTTTAGGGCCACTTGCCTATGAACTGGGGCTGTAGAAAATCTTGACTGAAGTCTAAACGTCTAATGTTCCTTTTACAGAGGAAATGTTCATGTAAATCTGGAGGCTTATTGTTCCGTTTTGTAAGCCAGTGACTATTACACACTTAATCGATATTGTCAAAACTTAATTAAGTTGAACCGTTCTTCCCTAAGAGTATATGGTTCGCCGACTATTGTAAGTAACAACTGTATCAAGATTATTCTTCAGTAATTTTATTAGAAAAGAGTTATGATTCATTAAATATTCACTTATGCGTGTTTTAAGAACATTCATCATGAAACTTTTTACATTTAAAAAAGCAATAGGGTTCATGAGTGTACTGTATAAACAAAGAGTCATTTGTTTGATGCCAGACCCAGGAAGGAAATCGAGTGCACATAAACTCGCAGTCTGTTGACCAAGTTTGAGAGACTTAATGATAAGGTTGAATGTGAGCAAATGCACACTCTGCCTTCTCCTGGGTCTGCAATCTCCAACTCCGTCTGACTTGCTTGAAGTCCTTTTTAACCTTCGGGGCCCAGCTCAAATGTCATCTCCTCTGTGAGGCCATTTCCATCTTCTCCTTCCCAAACAAATCATCATGTTTTGGTTTCAAACTTTGGCAGCAGGCATTATGTTTGGCATGAGTCTATTTCCACGATTAGTTGGTCAGCACATTGATAAGAGGAACCTCATCTTATTTTTCTTGTTTTCTACAGAGTTTTACCTTAATGGGTATTCTGTTTCATTTAACAATCAACAAATGTGAGTTAGCTCATTGGTACATGCTCAACACCTGTATCCATTAGGCCAATGTTAGCAGTTGTAACAAATAGGCCTGCAAATATATAATGACTCAAAAGCAATAGACGGTTTATTCTTGCTCATATAATAGTGTAAAATTCATGTTTCTGGTCGGAAGATGGCTTTCCTCCATGCAGTGATTCTGGCTCCCATACTGCTATCTTATAGCTCCACCATCCCATAGCTTGCCATTGTAACCTGTTTCAGCTTACAGAAGGGGCAAAAGAGAGAGTAGATGGGGCACACCCACTTTTAAGATACCTTAGCCTGGAAATGACACCACCCCTTCCTCTCACATTCTTTACTTGAGGTCTAGTTATACGGCCACATTTAATTGCAAGGGAGCCTGGGAAATGTAGTTTAGCCATGCTCTCAGAAAAATGATACAGAATAAATGTATTTTTATATGCTCAGAAAAAAAATACAGAATAATTGTATTTTTATTGAACAGCTTTGCCAAACACTGCCACTTATCAAGGCACATTCAAGAAACTTATGGGCTAATGGGAATTAAATGGAAACCTAGAGAGGACACCCGTCATTGCTTTCCTTTTGATTTTACAAGTTCAGATCTTTTCATACTAAGCATGTTTCAGAAATCTTGCTTTTTGTCATGTTTCAAATTTTATGTTTCAAATGTTGCCAATACCCAATAATCTCATGTAATACAATTATCTGATGCTTCCTATGTTGACTTTCTTGTGGTTCTTTTACTCCAGAAGCACCTTTGTTGGCTTAATTTTTCATCTGGTGATTCTGTAGACTCCCAAAGTGTCTAGGAGGGTCCTTAGAAATCACATTTCTTCTGGATGTTGTGGCTTATGCCTGTAATCCCAGCACTTTGGAGGCTGAGGCAGGTGGATCACTTTAGCCCAGGAGTTTGTGACCAGCCTGGGTGACTTAGTGAGACCTTGTCTCTACAAAAAAATCTTTTAAAAATTAGCTGGGCATGATGACACGCATGTGTAGTCTCAGCTACTCAAGAGGCTGAGGTGGGAGAGTTGCTTGAGCCTGGGAGGTAGAGACTGCAGTGAGCTGAGGTCATACCACTATTCTCCAGCCTGGGCCACAGAGTGAGACCCTATCTCTAAAAGAAAAAAAGGTAATCACAGTCCTACTCCCTGTTAATAAAAAGAGGAAATTAATCAGCCTGAGAGGTGAAACTCCTGCCCCAAGGTCTTGCAGCTTCTTAAGGGAAAGGCAAGAGGCTCAGCCAGCCAGCTCTTCAGGACTACACGGGTCTCCTTTGTCACTCTGCTGCCCTGACTCTTTGTCCGTGAGTCTTGCATATTCCATGGAGGTTAAGTGAGCTTCCAAATCTCCAGGAGCAGGGGGATCTTCTAGTATTCTGGGTAGTCCCTGTTCTCCACAGGCTTCCAAATTGTTGGAGCAATTCTGTTCATACCAGCCATCATAATTGTTAATGTACTTTTTTGCTATGAATACTTCATTATATTCATCTGTTCTGCAAACATTAGCCTAGTGTGTTACTTTGTGCAAGTCACTGGGGACATGAGGTCCTGTAAATAAATACTTCTGCTGTCCTTGCTTTTCAGAAGTTCATGATCTACTAGAAGAGATAAAAATAATTAATAATTACTAACATTTATTGAGCATTTGCTATGTGCCAAGTACTGTTTAAGCTCCAATCTTAATATAAAGTGGTTTCACTTATAATCTCCATTTTTATAGACGGGAAGCAAGCTTCAATAGCTTGTTAAATAACTAATTCAAGATTATACAGCTACTAAGTGGTAGAGTCAGGATTCAGGTCCAATTAGTTTGGTTCCAAAGCCTTTGCCCTCAGCCACTAGGTAATAGTTGAAATACTACACATAGATGTAATGATGGTATTGAAATATGTTAAGTGTGTGCCATGAGGGAGAATGACTGAGATGCTTTAGAAATTAAGACTTTTGGCTGGACGCGGTGGCTCATGCCTGTAATCCCAGCACTTTGGGAGGCCGAGACAGGTGGATCACGAGGTCGAGAGATCCAGACCATCCTGGTCAACATGGTGAAACCCTGTCTCTACTAAAAATACAAAAATTAGCTGGGCATGGTGACGCATGTCTGTAGTCCCAGCTACTCGGGAGGCTGAGGCAGGAGAATTGCCTGAACCCAGGAGATGGAGGTTGCAGTGAGCCGAGATCACGCCATTGCACTCTAGCCTGGGTAACAAGAGCA